AGAGAGAGAGAGAGAGAGAGAGAGAGAGAGAGAGAGAGAGAAATATATAAATACCTGAAGTAAACAAAAACACAACGTTGGGACAATTGAAGTGTTTTCCCAAAACCACAACAAGCAGAGTCAGAGTGGAAAAGCCTTGAGCTGTATTTTGGGAAATTGGGCGTGTTGGAATCCTATAATGTGATAATTCTCTTTGAGGATTTGGAGGTCATGGAATGAAATGGCGTTAAACCACGTAGAGCCATTTGGACTGTGTTGGGCTGCTTTCGGAAAATACATGTGGTACTTTCTGGCCCGGTTCCTCCACCTCCCTCCGCTCTGCCACGGAGCCCACACTATGCTGCCGAACCCTTGGGTTAAACTGGCCATGTCTATCAAAACACTATGACAGCACATTCTGTTTTCAGATCCCAAGCGCTGCTAAAAAAAGGGTGCGTAGCAAATCTAACGAGTAGAATAACATTTACTTCTTGCCACATGTTTAAGAGTGTTTCACAGTGAATGAAGTAAATCCATGGTGCCCCTTACGAAGCACAGCTTGTAGCTACGTCAGCGGGTATAAATGTTCCTCAGATGTCACTTAGATTTTGCCTGAACGAAGGATTTGACTTGATTTTCTAGCATGAACACAAGTTTTTCCCCCCACATCCTTCTGCGTATAATGTAAAGCAGACTGCATTGCAGGGTGGCTTGAGCCAGCTCCCGGGTCCCATGAGTCTCTGCAGACAGGGTAACGGTTCTTCAAGGGAATTGACAGTGACAGAGCCAGGAAAGTCCTCAAGTGGATCTTTTCAGTTCTGTTTTTTCTCCCCCAGACACTAACCTGTTTTACTCTGCAGAAGACAGCAGTTCATTTTAAGTTTGCACCGAAGGGAATGGTCCAAATCTAAGATAGACTGCGTGGTTTTAGACTCATGATTGTGCATTATGTGATGCATGATTGTGGCTTTTTTTGCAAAGCAACTTTGGAAAAAGAGGAGGCATTTGGCTATAGGCTGGTTGTTTTGCTTCCTTTTCAAGTCTCAAATGTACACTGTAAAGTATGTTGCCACGTTCATCTCTGCTTGAGAGTTATGAGTTCCCCGAAGCTCTCAAACATAACAAACAGCATGCAATATAGCGCTTTGTGAATGTGCCTTCAGTGGGTTTGCTGAATCATTTTACTGAACAAATGTGTCCTCCGAGAAAACTCAAAGAATATGGTTCTCAACAGGGGAAGGCAATATAACCCAACAGATTGCTGTGGAAGCAGGTTTATTACCACTTTTCGCTCTCTGCTAGATTCTGTATTTGCACCAGCTATTATACATACAAAACTCTTTGTCACCTCTCTTTCATGACACATTCCTGAATCAATATGTACTGTATACAGCAGGTCGAGTAAGGACAGCACTGTGGCTACAGTAGGTGTTGTGGGGAAACTGTAACCATACTGAGTGCATGTCTGCTTTATGTTCAGACAAATAAACCCACTACGTATTGTGATCTGCTTGCTTTCAAATGATGTTCTTTCTCCCATCTTACATACCGTCTTGTTATCTGTGATTGCATCACTTCAGACACGGCGGCTCTGTTCTCCGTCTTTCAATGACAACATATCCAAAGTGTTAAAGCAGCTGTTAATAACTGTTTGGACGTGTTTAGTTTGTGTGATAGAGAAAATACACTGTGTGTTTGTGTCAGATTACTCCGAGGAGCCAAGTGTTCATTCTCGCAGGTATCTGTGTTTGCCTGTCAGTATCTGTGAGTGCTTTATGCTTCCATGTGTGTGTTTCTATGTGACTGTTTTTTGACTGCTGAAGTACACGCCTGTCCAGTGTTCGGACCAGTGCAACAAGCCTGGTTCTGAGCATTCTGGCAGCTTAAACCGAGAGGTCACGCCGGGGTTATAAGCCGGGAAAACAACAGCAATTAGAGGGAGTGACTCAAATGGTCCACATAAATCATCCAGGCCCTGCATATCATAAACACACTCTAAAACTTTAAAGCACAATTAACTGTAAGTAATAGCGCCAAGATTGATTTATTGCCTCATTCAAAGCCTGGAGACACGGGGTGCATGACCCGAGTGTCACGTCACTCTCGCAGGCAAAAATGATAGATCTATTACTCATTTTTTGGCAAAACGAAGAACACAAAAACAAACATGTGTTTTTGAAAGGACTTTTATGAGACACTGAAGTGGCCGCGTTGCATTAACTGATTTTCCTCTCCTTCTGCTGGCATCCAGTACAGAGAAGGAACGCCTCTGTGCTGAAGCATTTGTTGCCTCGACGTCTCTTGTGTTTAGCTGTGGAGTTTGAGGCCTGTCAGAAAACAGGCCAAGGCTGGCCAACAATAAT